GTGTGTTTCATGTCGATTTGTTTACATTGTCTGTAACTGCAACAGTCGGTGACTTTTGGCTCTTTTTTTTCTTCTCCGCAATGTGCAAATTTTCCTAATGACGATGTCAGAGACGCTTAGTTATTTACCAAACATGGCAAAGTTTTCACTTAAGAAACCTAACAAAATTCTTTGCGGAAAGACTGACTATTACTGCCATTCTTAAAACCGGGATAATTGTCGTCGGTGTCAATGCGCATTGCAATGAAGTGCCTGATCTTATCTACAGTTTTGTAGCCCCATCACATGTGCAAACTCTACTTGATTTATCATGCTCCATTTTAAGTTCCTTGTCTCCTTGCTAAATGTTATACTCAAAATTTCACTGTTACAACAATCTGAACAGAAGGGTAAAAATGAAATAAATCCAAAAGATATCACGCAATATCAAAACATGCGTTACATATTTCATCTTGTCGCCACGGAGTCTAGCATTTGCATAACTTCGTGGAAGAGATAAAAGCTTCTTTTGGTTGTAAATTTAGAGAATCTTCGATGACTCACTTTTTAAGCGATTTCATCTGTTTTGCAGAAAATCAAAAATCAAAAAGTACTGACCAGTACATGTTACATTCATGTGGGCAAATAAAGGCTTGCATGACATCTAAACACTTTTGAAAACAATGTTACATTTCATTTTGACTGTTGGAAGATTTTCACAGCGTGAAATTAAATTTCACGGTGACTGAAATTTTTCACAGCGATTATAAACTTTTTCACTGCGTGAAATTTTCACGGTAGCCATGAATTTTTCACGGCGTGTTCACGTCGTGAAAGAGAAATTTCACACACATTCCAAAAATTTTTCTAACTTTCACGGCCTGGATCGTGAAAATAGGCATAGCGTGAAATTTAGATAAGCCCCCAAGTCGCGTGAAGGGTCACATTTATAGAGCAGAATACTTTTTCTGAACATGTTAAAAAGTATTTAGCAGAGTTAGTGAAAGGAATTGGTAAGATTATATCGTACCCCAAGAAAATGAACCCAAAAGTTATTGGCTAACTCAGCTCAAAGATACTGTATGTTTACTGATTACAAAAAATAATGACATATACGTATAGCAGACCTAAAAGCATTGGCCAATAGGGTACCTACCATCAACTGACAATTATTATTTGAGACCTGAAATAAATATATTGAAGTGCAAGCTTTTCTAATAGTCTCATTTACTTTCAGGATAAGGAGAAGTCAAGTGACTCTCAGCTTACCATCCCTGCAGGGCGTCGCTGGAGACATTTTAAGGGGCTCCCTACAACAAATGCAGAAAAGACAGCTATCGCAGTAAGTTTCTCAAAGCAATAGGTGCAGTTTTTCTTTCACTGCATGTTTTCTAGCTTGAAGGGTTATCTTGTTATTAAAAAGCTTCATGATCGAGTTCAATCTATCCATGACTAAATGCTTTGTTCTTGTATATTTCTACAGCAGCCCACGGTTCAAAGTATTCCAAAACTACAATAATTATTAAGAGAGCAATCAGGGCATTCTGTAAGTACTTACTTGCCATAATTTCAGTGCATGTAATGGTATTTATTTGTTGTTCCAGAAATTTTTCAGTTTAGAAGTGTATGGAAAGGTTGAGTCTTACTAACGATTCAAAGCCAAATTCATGCAAATCCATCGCATGTGCAGACAAAGGGAAAGGGAGAATCTAGCAGTTTATCAGGAGTCAGTTGGCTAGATTACTTGATATTAATGAAAGGATTTTCCCTTTTTTTTTTCTATCAGGGTCAACAATCAACAGATGCAGATGAGATAACAACAGCACCAGAAATAATTGCAGAACTGGATGAATTAGTAGGTTTCCCCATTTAATAATTTTGTAAAGCAAACTTTTTAAGTAAAATAGGTGTTGACACAAAATTTATCATAGAGTTAATATTATTGTTGTGTGTGTATTTTGCTTTAGAGTGACAATGACAGAGTATTAGTATCTTACCTTGAGAATGTAGAAAAAAAACTTGGTTTCTTGTGAGCAGGTATAATTGTGTAACAGGTTTTTTTTCTATTATTTCTAGTGCTATGAAAATATTAACTTTTGTGTGTGCAGGGTTTTTTTTAAAGGAAAATGCATGTATGTTTTTTTTTTTGAAGGAAGAAGGGAGTGATTGTCATTCTGTCACTTCTGGGCTGCCGAGTGTTACATCAACTACAGAACCTGAGGTTCAACAGGTGGCAGGGTCAAGTACAAGGACCTCAGTGGGGCCNTACAAGTGTCACTGAGTTTGTTGCTGTGAATAACAGCAATCTACCATTGAGCAAGTGGAATAAACAGTGGCTAGTGAACCAAAACCAGGGGCAATGCAATTCAGCTAAACGTTATCAAAGTATTCCTAGACTACTATCAGCAGCAACTTTATTTTATATCTATAAAGGTCGACAATCAACACGTCCAGACTCGATAAACACAGCGACAGAAATAATTGCCGAACGGGATGAATTAGTAGGTTTCCCCATTTAATAATTTTGTAAAGCAAACTTTTTAAGTAAAATAGGTGTTGACACAAAATTTATCATAGAGTTAATATTATTGTTGTGTGTGTATTTTGCTTTAGAGTGACAATGACAGAGTATTAGTATCTTACCTTGAGAATGTAGAAAAAAAACTTGGTTTCTTGTGAGCAGGTATAATTGTGTAACAGGTTTTTTTTCTATTATTTCTAGTGCTATGAAAATATTAACTTTTGTGTGTGCAGGGTTTTTTTTAAAGGAAAATGCATGTATGTTTTTTTTTTTGAAGGAAGAAGGGAGTGATTGTCATTCTGTCACTTCTGGGCTGCCGAGTGTTACATCAACTACAGAACCTGAGGTTCAACAGGTGGCAGGGTCAAGTACAAGGACCTCAGTGGGGCCATCACTCTCAACTAAAACTCCTGAGGTAAGTGATTTTATGTATGGAAACCGAAAGGCAGATAGATGGACTAGTGTATTAAAGGACCTTAGCAAAATCTTAAAGTTAACATTATGCTGGGGGAGACATTGCCTGTTGTAACTACATTACCCTGAACTACACCAAATCTGTAGTTGCATACTTCTATTGTTAGACTTCAAAAGAAGGACAACCCATAGATTACTCTCTGCGTTTACCTGGTGAGTGGAGGAAAAATATGGCATATAAGGATCAGTGTTGGATTGGCAAGATATGTATTGCAACTCCAAAGGTGCTCTGACAGCTCAGCTGAAGTCTTGGTGGTACCCTCCTCCTACCCCCGCACCCAATACTAATGCAGTTCCCTGTCCAGAGGACTATTTCCTGCGACGCCTTTCTCTGTGGATGCCCAAGTGGATGTGGGGTGTGGACCTCAAGTGTCCACGATGCACTGATCCTCAACGATCGTTAATGTCCAAGGGGTTGTGTATCAGGGTGAGAATGGTCCTAGACATTAAAGATTTCTATTATCTGGCGGCGGAATATCATTCTTGCAAAGGATGCAACGGCACATACATTGCATGGGACCGGAGACTTCTTCAACAGCTGCCAGTTGATGTTGTGTCGTGTTTCCCTATGGTACTTACATACAAATACGCATGTGATGCATCAGTGGTTTCCATGCTACGGGCACATTCACTGGGGAACACTTCCACAGCACTTCAAAAAAAGATCAAGGAATTGCACAGCGAAGATTGGATGAGAAAGACCATCTCATACTTGGCAAATTGCAAGCGCCACAAGGTGACCCATGCACAGTTCAACATGCCACCAGTTCATTACCCGCAAGAGAAGCCAATGAAACTTATTTCAAGTGCTAAATTGTTCGTGGCGTGTTATGTACGTGACGTCCATAGCCGACTTGACCTCCTTAAGGCGGCAGCAACGTCCGTTTATGGCAAGATTTTAAAAATTGATTCAACAAAGAAAATTACCAGGAAGCTGCAGGGTGTTGAGGCAGAAAGTGCTGACTGGGAGACCAATTCCATTCTTTGTTTAGTAGTTGGCCCAGCCTGGAAGTTCGCCTTGATATCTTCCATTTTATGAGACGTCTTGCTGCTGGGTGTAATGGTGAAAGTCACCCTTTGTATGGTGTGTTTATGGCTGGATTGGCAAGGTGTATTTTCAAGTGGGATGCGGATGATGTTTCTCTGTTGTTTAGGGCTAAACGGGGGGAGTTGCAGAAGGTAGATGTTGTGAATCCATCCGAAGACGCCGTATGAAAGGCTGTCACAAAGGAAGAGATGGCACGTCACTGCAGGCGGCAAACAAGAGGGGTTGAGGAAACTTGTAAACTCCTGTACTCTCTCTTTTCCAGCATGTCCACTGCTACAGATGCCCTTGGAGTGCCGTTATTCAGGGATGACATGCTAACAACAGTGTGGCCAGAGTAGAAGAAGCACCTGCCCTGTATTCAGGATCCCCCTGGAGTGCAATTATACACTGTTACTGGCTATGTAAACAAAGGTGGTGTCAGACTTCCAGTACTGAGATGTGCGCGTGGGTCCACTTCACTGGAGAGTTTCCACCTTCACTTAGCAAGATTTATCCCTGGTAAGTGGATTTTCATATAGCTCCTCTGTAAATTAGAAGTACTTGCATAACAGTCCAAGATCAAGATTTAGCAAATACTTAGGAATCAATTTCCTTTACTTTCCCTTCGGAAGTCATGAATTTTTGAGGTGTATTTTGATTTAACCTAGGTTGATTCCTGATTTCATTTCTCTCCTAGCCCCAGAAGAAAAAGGAAATTGGGGATCTATCTAGGTTACAAATTTTAACCTGAAATCAAATTTGACCTGTAACATATGTTTCAGTTAATTTTTTATTTCAGTTAGTTTTTTATTTCAGTTTATTTTTATTTTATAATTTCCATATATTACCATACCCCAAAACACTAGAAAGATTAAACTTAACTGCAACATATACATATTAATCACAAGAAACTAAGTTCAGTGGAAAATTCAGCTCTAATTTTTCCGTATAAGTGGTAATAGCTTGTTGTTTTGCTTGGCACACTGTGATGGTATGGAT